GAGAGAGAGAGAGAGAGAGAGAGAGAGAGAGAGAGAGAGAGAGAGAGAGAGAGAGAGAGAGGGCATCTATGCGCCTTTCCGCACGGCTTATTCTCTCTGCCTTTTCTAATCTCTTCGTCTTTTTCTTGAATCTCATTTGTTTTTGTCGGCGATCATTTGTCGAATATGTTATTATTAATCATTCCAGAACTCTCTCCCCCTCTCCGGCGTTTTGCCACTCACATCTGCCGAACTTGGGCTTTTCTCCTGTGACATGGCAATGAACCGCAATTGAAGGTCTCCCAAGGGTAATGGATGGGTCCAATGTGCCGCCCCCACTTATTACGGGATAGGTCGCCGAAGGCTAATGAATGGGTTGCCTAAGGGTTAATGGATGGGTCTCACCCATGTGCCTCTTGTAAGCAACGGTGATAGCGATGAGTAGGGATTGAAGATAGATAGGTCATCCAAGGGTAGAGTACAGGTATTGGTGCTTCATCCTACGTACACCTATTGGTTGCTATGGGTTCATTGTCCTCGCTGCAGAGCAGGATCGTTCTCCTCCCCCCTCCCCCCTTTCCCCTCCTCCCCCGGCCCCCATCTCCCTCCCTCACGGTCCGTTTGTTTTTTTTCCCGCTCTCGTCTGTTGCCGTTACGTTAGCCGGAGTTTTCCTATTTTGTTCTTTCCCCCCTCTTCTTTTTGGGTAAAATGGTGACGGCCTTAGATATACATTATGGAACTGACGGCCCCAGATACATCCCCCTCTTCTTTTTGGGTAAAGGGGTGATTTACTGTATTGCACGTGATTCCGCCTTCAGCCACTCAGCCATACTTCCCGGGGGAAACGGGATTTGAACACGTGGCGCGCGACTTCTGGCTTGACAGGTCTTGAGACGGGCGCGCGCGCGCGGGGGTACGACTCGCGCGACCAGTGCCGATGAGAGGTGTGCGCGCGCGCGCGCGGGATGGGCGGAACGTCGGCGGTGGCGCAGATGGATGTTGTCGTCTTGTCGTCGATGGGCAGCGATGTAGAGCGAAGCGCAGGCGAAGCTGGACTTGCATGTTAGCAGGCGTCGAACGCTGACGCGGCATACGTTGAAGTGTCACACGTGGACGTTATTAGAGGGAGGAGGGATGAATGGCAACGACAGTGTTTTTTTTTATTTTAATTTTTCCCCTAATAAAAAAATTGGACCATTTTTCGATTTATGCGTGTCATCCTTGCTCAGGGGCATGCTAATCTTCTTCTTTCTCTGTATCGTTCCAATTTTAACGGATGCAGACGTAGTTATTTTTTCTGTTTACGGTAGTTTTTTTTTTTTTTTTAATTTTATTTTAAATCTGCGCCGCGCTCTGCCACAGTGCAATATACAGAGGCAACGCTGGAAGGGACGAGTAAGCCCAAAAAAAATTCATTTACCCTTTGGAACCCCTCATATGACCCCAAAATAGTAATTTACGTAATATCTTTGTAGGCCGATGGACCACGGATCCAATTTTAAACTGATCAGAACACAGATAGTACACTTGATCTTATTTAGCCAAAATGCCGAGAAAGATATGACACTTTTTTTTTTTTTTTTTTTCCCAACAGCAGGACGTGAAGCGCAATGTGCTTCCCATCTCCACACGAGCAACGTTGGGTGATGACACGAGTACACGTGGCATACGTTGGCGTGGAGCAATGTCGCACGTGACTGTCGCTCACCTGGCGTAAAGGTGTCACACGCTGACGTGGCGTACGTCCAGGAGAGCGCACACTTACCTTACGCTGACGTGGGATAGGTCTATCAGAGGAGAGCTCAATGCCTGTCCTTTCCTTTGTGCCTTTCTGACTGGGCGGGAGGCCCCAAGCTCTGTGTGTGTGTGTGTGTGTGTGTGTGTGAGAGAGAGAGAGAGAGAGAGAGAGAGA